ATCTTTTTTTATTACTTTAAATCGATTGACATCGAATGTTACACAATATAAAAAAGATCGACATTTGATTTTATCACTAGGTGATATAACGAATGTCCATTATGCTATTCATTGATCGAGTAAATTAAAATGTCTATTACTCTGGCGCGTCAGTTTCATAGGAAATAGGTTTCCATTATGAAAACGCAATTGCGTGTTACTACTACTAACTGGGCGAAAAAAAAGAAAAAGCTTTAAACAAAAATCGCGGATAATAGTCGAACTTAGCCGTCTATAACTTACAAATTTATTATTATCTACCAATAATTCTCCCAAAAAACTACTTTCGGCGTTAAGAAAGGTACTTATCCAAATATTAGTTAAAAAACGAGCAATATTAGTAGTAAAATCGTCTCATGAAAAAAAACAATTGTAAAAAACATCCTTTGGGGTGCGATCGATGTTGCAATTTGATATGCTGGATTTGGTTCAGTGATTTGAATTGGTTACCTCTATATTAAGAATTAAATTTCCAAACATCTCGAGGCATAATTTATCACGTAAATACCATAAATATCGACGGAAATAAAATGGCTCCGACATTGATGTTCGTCATTTTCCAAATTGTATCAATAAAGCTTTGAATAAAATATCATTTAATAATAAAAATTACTTTCACATATTTCATATTTTATATATATACTAGATTAATTTTATTAATTTTAACTACAATCTTAATTGTTTTTGATATGGGTAATAAAATTTAAATAATTCAATTCTTTTATAAATTTGAGTTAATTTTCAACATTAGGTAAGTTAATCATCCATTCGTTATTTTAGAAGCTGGTTTCACTCCAAGACGGAAGGAAAATATCTTCTAGTTTGAACTTAATAACGTATTATATTTGCAAGTTCTTTTTATGCTGCAAAGTTAGGTCCGCATTATCGACATTATCGATATTTATCTGTCATACTGGAAAAGATATAATATCTTAGCACTTTATCCACCGGAATATAACTATCACATAAGCGAAATTTTAGTTACCTTGCGAGAAAAATTTGCGTCTAATTTTGCTTTATATAATGTTGCCAAATTTAAAGATATTTGTCTTGTGAAGACCCTAAATTATGATATATTTTCTTAAAAAAAAAAAAAAGTGAATATATAAAAGTATTAAATAACGATAACAGTAAGATTTTAAATATAAAATATTATATAGAATTGCACGTTTCAGCAATTTTCTCTGACAAATAACTTAGCAACCAAGCAAGATGCCTTTTTATGAGGTAAAAGTTTTTAAGTGGTACTATTTAAGGATTGAGATACAACTATGATTTGATGATGTCCGACGAACAAACAAATCAACGCACGTTGTTGTTTCATTCAACCTTAAAATTATTTTTTCATGCAATGCAAAATAACGTTTCGGAGAGTTTGATTTTTCCGTAATCATACATGGATGAAAAGAATTTTTTTTGAGGGTAAATAATCATTGTAACAACATTAATTAATAAAAGTAGAAATGTTTGTAAATAAATTACATAAGAAATTGTTTTTAGAGCGGTTTAAAATAATAATTTCTCGATCGCTTACTTTCCAAGTTTTTCTAATAAAATTTTTGAATTTGAATTTTTTTTTTCCTTACAAGAAATTTTCAACTCGCTTCCTTTCAATAAGTCTAAATATTATGTATGTAATACTATGTAGGAGATACAAATTTATTCATAAAAATCAATGATTGATGCACTTTACAAGTTAGTTGAAGATCTGGGATGATTTGATTTTTTTCTGATCATATTGAACTCCTCAGAAGGGATGACAACATATGACTTCGATAGTGTTTACGTTCCACTGCATGAATGATACATTAAGTCTTATTTTATTTTTCAAATGATTTGTCAAATGATTTTTTTTTTAAAAAAGAAACCAACTACAAACATACAGATTTACAAAACAGATTTTCATGAAGAACACAATAATAAAGTAAATAACGCGTAATACATTCCTGTTATTCCATATGATGTGAAGGATAACTATGTGTAGGTGCATGAGATTATTTTATAACCCATGCATACGAGTTACGAACATAGTAAACATATGACCATAACGTGATTTTAATAGCATATTCTACTCGTTGTTAATTTAAAAATGTATAATATGATTTATTATTATAAATGATCTAACTTTTAAATTTTTTAGCAACATTTACAAAATATATTTATAAAAATTTCGTTTATTTAACGAAGAAAAATTGAAAATTGTATTTATATAAATAAGATTTCGTCCAAGTAAAAAGAAAACAATCAAAAAAAATTTAGATTAATCAATGTTATGTTTTAACAGTTAGATGATTTTAAAAGCTTTAAGTCTTTACGTAATTAAAAATGTTATAAAATATTAAATTTTATTCGTATAATTTAATCAAAATTAGCCACCTTATAAAATACTACATGTTTGGTTTTTCCATACATGTATGAAATAACAACCTTCCATACGTGTTTACCAAATTTAGAAAAAAATTTTCAAAAAATCTAAGATTTGGTATATTAACAACGAAACTAACAAGTAAGTACCAACGAATGAAATTCATTCCATCAATTATCGTTAGGACTTCCCGAGAAGCTAAAGTTAATTTGCTTTCAAAGATTACTATCCATAAAAGCTTAGATAACTTAAAAATTATGATTTCATAAGAGCAACAATATTTAAATTCATGATCACTATCATAATAAGAAATAATATATGTTAAAAAATTTAAAAGTAAAATTATTTAATTATGTCAAAATCCAAAATGACATTTTCGACAATCATTAAATATCTTACGAAATTGATATTCGCCGCCGCGAGCTCTATAACATATTCATTTATACTACGAATTTTTTTTTCAAATTAGCCATATAATAAAAAATTTTATTTTTTTTTTGTCATATACTAATTGTGAAAATCTTAGAATTTTGTGGATTTATTGTACACGAATAATAAGAATAAAATCGGATACGGACATCGTAAATCATATGATCCATAAAGTGATTCTAATGGCAAACCGCCAATAGGTGAAATCAAATAACTATGTACAGTCGCGTCACATTGTAACGCCCGATCAAAATTTTATAATAAAAACATATAAAAAATAGAAAATTTAAGCCTATAAAATGTTTGCATTTCTCTTTACAATTATCTCTGAATTATATATCATTCTATGACTAACTAATCAAATGTACTTTCAAAAAAATAAAACAAGATGCACGAGCTATTTAATTATAAAAATTGAAAAAAATTTTACATACATTACCGTCTATTTTATAAAATATTTTATGATTCTGTTAAAAATTTTACAATACATCATAAAGTATATAAACATTATTTGTTATTAGGATTTTGGAAAAATAAAACTCCAATCTGCGGAATCTTCTAATTCATATGAGGGACTTGATGTGGGATTCGTTGCTTCCCTTTGAGTTTGTATTTTAAGAATATTGAATGTGTTTTCTGTTCCAATGCTGGATATCGATTGAGGATCTTTCGTATTAGTAAGCATAAATAAACTTTCTAACCTTTCAATTCGTTCGTTAAGAGCGCTGAATGTTGATGTTGATGTAGTTGTTGGAGCTACCAGCTGGGTTTGTAATTGTATTTGATTTAACGGAACTTCTAAACCAATATGAGAGAGAGGAATTGTACTAACAAACTGATAAGGAACGCCAATATCTGGTGTTGATATAGTTGTCGGAGTTGCAATCTGAGCTTGCATTTGATTTTGCATTCCAAATCTTTCAAAAAGTTCGATACTTATTTGATTTGAAAGATTAAAAAGATCTTCTGTTCCAATATTAGACAGCGTTTGAGGATTTTTTTGCGTATTATTATTTTGCTTTGTATCGTTAGTCAACTTATTTACCAAACTTTCTAATTTGCCAATTCGATCATTAAGTACGTCGATATATTCATCATTTTGCTCACACCGTCTGTAATACGTATTGCTTTGTTTTATAACTTTTGGAGCCTTTGATGTTTTCTTTTTCGACGTCGGAGGATTTGCCCTTCTAACTGTCATGATATGAGTTCTTCCAGTTGTGTCTATATATCCTTCGCTTACTGCATGAGCTTTTCTTCCTCTTTTTGATTTTGTAACCAAAGGCATATCATCAAGATTTTGCGTGTTCATTTTTGATTTATTCTTCCTTGAAGGTAATCTTAGAAGGATGAATGAAAAAAAACTTCTCTACTTGATTGTATTTATAAGAAAAACATGCTACACAAAAGACATGTTACACAAAGTAATAAATTTAAAATAGGTTAAAAAAAGGAATAATATTATTCGGATATATCTGTTGTAATGTAAAAGAACTAAATGTTTGCGTAATAATGAGAAACTTGGTATATAAGGTTAGGTCATTCATTGTCCGAAGGAGTTTTGAAGCAATCACTAAGCTTTAACAGCGAATCAAATCAATGATATCATGTTTGCATGATGGAAGAAAACTGGGTATATAAGGTTAGATATTATACCAGAGAAAATATATTTGGTGTGGTGCACAAAATTTTTCTATTAAGAAATTTCTGACGAAATAATTAGTCCCACAAATAACACCAATACTACACCACAAATATCATTATCATCATCATCATCATCAAAGGCCGATCACAAAATTCAATCAATTGTATGATCGACAAATAATAAAAAAAAAACTTTGAAACTTCGTCAGGTTTGATTTTAAAAAATGTCCAAATTTTTTGCCATGCATCACCATTAAAATCAAAATATCATGCTTTCCGATTAAGATTTGGCGCAAATTCCCGCCGAAAATTTTTTTTTTATTTTATTCATGTCATTTTAATTAAAAAGGCAAAAAACGCAAAAAAAACAAGGACAGTAACTTTGTTTTTTTTTATTTCGTCATATTATATTCTTTATTCAGACATTAAAGAAACGTGTATTTTTTTTTCTTTTTTGGTACTTGGTTGATAAAATAATGAAAATATTTAGAACGTTAATCTTTATTTCTCCTTATGGTATTTTATTTGATCAATGATAATATAAAGAGTAAATTTTTATCATTGTACAACTATTTAATTTTTTGTTGTCCAATTTGGGAATATTTCCCATAATAATGCAAAATGTGATTTCGAAGATCCGAAGATCAGTTAACCAGAAGAGCGTTCTTTTAAAAAAGGGGGCGAGGGTGCTTATCTAATGGCCGATCGCATAGTTCAAAATGGATTATGACCAATTCTATAGGCTAACCTTTAACGTTAAAAAAAAAAAATTCTTTGAAACAATGTGCCAAATTCTTGCGAGCGCCAATAAATAGACGTACAATTATTTATCATTATTTATCAATTCATAAAACATTTTTTATTTAGACATAATATTTATATTATTAATATTATAAATTCATTTTAATATTAGTCACTAGGATGGTCTTATATTAATTTAGTAAACTGTTTATTTTTGTGAATATAATCTCATGTTGTATATCTTTTTGATATAAAATGTTCTAAATATCCTAAAAAAAAATAAATAAATAAACAAATAAACAACTCTAACTTGAAACGATAACTCTAATCTCGATACTAATATTTCTTTTTTTATCAAATAGCAAGAACTTACACAAACTTTCTGACGATCTACGCAATACTTAAATTTATAATTTTTAAGAATAAGTTCGTCCACGTGCTATTAATGACCATAAATTAAATCATATATACTGAAAGTCCCGTATGCTTTTTAAAGGATGAAATTTTATATCTAAACGGTTCTAAACAATTCGCGCAATCATCACTTTTTAATAATTAAACTTACTAATTAAGTTTATTTTTTATTTATCAACCTTAATTTCTTCAACAAAGTAGAAAATTCCGGTCTGATAATTGCAATCGAACATGTTATGCAATCATTATCCCCACTTTTAGCACAAATGGATCAATATACAGGTCAAAAATCATCAGATGAATATTATAAATGAAGTCATGCAAGTATGTGCTACAATAGGAGTAGTAGCCGAGTAACCGCATTTAGACTAGCTTTACCATATTGACTTTGTCGAAAATTATTTTACTATAACAATAACATATCGATATCAATCACCGGACATGTCGCATGTCGATCATAGTAAATAAAATTATATAGATGTCGATCCTATGATCGGCAAAATTTTATGATTTTTTGCCACTTTTGACTTCGCATATAAGATAACTGTTCGCTCACTTCGCAAAAACATTTTTATAGATTTTAAAAGTTGAAAAGTTTGGTAGTTTTAAGAAGATCTCTTCA